AAAGGCACGATTTTTTTTAAATTCGAAAAAATGTAAATATTTCAAAAGCGGTGACACTTTTACCTGAAAATTTTTTGTTTATCAGTGAGCTCACCCCCCCCACCTACCTTGCCCTAAAGTTTGGCACGTTCTGGGACACCCTGTATATGTATCTCCTCTATCTATGCCTGCTGTGAATATATAAATTTTTTCAAATGCAGTAATTTGTTAAAGTAAAATTTTCAGATGCTCATGAAAGGTATGAAGCCTTCGGCATAGCCGAAGACAGCGCTGCTCTTACTTGTTTCCATTTTATATATGCATAAACTGAAGATAATTTAGGTAAGCTGTCTTAAGGGAAGCCATTCTAAAAGGCTTACCCAACAAGCACTGAAAAAAGTGCTTCCCTCCATGCTTCCTAGAAAGGTGTTTCCTATTTACAATTTACGCGAATGTACTTAAGTAAATGTTTATATTACTTAGCATTACAAATAGGCATTTAAAGTCTAAATAAAACTTTTTGATATGAACCTTAAATAAATTCCTTAAAGAAGTATTATTTTTATGAATTAAGAAAAACTTTAAAAGAACTTCTTCCGAAGGCGTCCTACAAAAGCCCTTGCGAAAGCAGAAGCTCTTCAATTTGTGCCACTCCATACCAGAATGAAGGAGAAAGGAAAGAAAGGCCTTTTTGAAGAGATTTTAGCTCCTGAAATTACCTTCTTACTTATGACCCCTCAGCCATGTAGCTGATCAGGAACTTGCACTTTTTTGGCATTTGCCTGAAAAAAAGAGATTTTAACCAAATAAACTGAACAGAAAGAAGGTAATCTCAACAGACATTCAACTTGTTAGAAAGAATGTTTCGTTATCAATTTAACAGAAAGCTTAACCTTTTTTTCATAGCAAAATCTGCTAAAAATTAGAGGAGTGTCTGCATTCACCTTCATTAAAAACCAGGACAATTTAAGTGTGGACCAGGACACCAGGACAATTTGTCTAAATCAGGACAAATCCTGGAAAACCAGGACGTCTGGCAGCCCTATGCTAGTTGCGATGTCATCAACGTTACTCATCCTGGTCATGTGAAAGCTGACAAAACATGCACAAATGTACTATACTATATTTTTTCGATTCCTTAGACCCTAAAACTAATACCAAACTGTTTTCGTTTACTTAATATGTAATTCTCTATTTTATGGGCCAACGGCTAAAATATTTCCAAAAATGTCGTTATTGGTAACAGTAATGTCATTTTTAGACATATAGGTATACATACGTACGTATAAAATTTAATGCAAAATATAACCATAAAATTTAGTTAAGCTACATTTAACAGCAAAAGTCTCCGTACACCATTTCTTTTTTAAGTATTCACAATATATTGAGAGCTAAAATGTGTTATTGTTTTATAAAAAAAATTGATCATGCTTAAGACAAAATCATATTAACCCAGTTTTCAAGCTTTAAAAAAAGGGAAAAATCAACGATTTTTCATCAAAAATTTCGACCTATTAATCAGATAAAAAAATAATAATAAACGAAAGTGGTAAACAGTCTCACTTGGAAATGGGGGTGCTATTGATATGACCGATACTGTACATGCGTATATATACCTATCACTGAGCACCCGAAATGTGTAGTTATGCAGTGGTTTTTTTTAATTTCCAACACTTTTAATTTTAAATATTTTTCGTAATGTTTTTGTTAAGGCACGGCTCTTATTTCATAAACCATTTAAATTTGTTTCAAGCTTGATAGAACTTTAAAAACTGTCTTCAAATTTAAAGCTTTTTAACCATTTTTTTTTTTTAAATATTTCGAGTATTCTGTTTCGAAACCCATAAAATTTGAGCGTAGCAAAGTGTAACCTTGCATCTGAGACGAAAATAATTAAGTATGCGAATACCGTCAAGAGCGTGCGTAAAAATAGCTATAAAAAATCAACGCGATTAATTATACTAAAATTTAATGGGCTATAGAACTGCATACTTATAAACTCTGATTTAAAATATTGAAGTTTTTATAACCGTTTCTAAAAATCTATTAAATTTCCAACACAGAAACGTGAATGTAAATGATTATGTTATAACATGGGCCATCCTTAAAAAAAAATGTACGAACAATATTTAACGTGAAAACCATTGTGAATATTCAAAATTATATATATTCTTAATTCAATGCCGGAGAGTCTATGTATTACACTTCAACACATTTAATACAATTTAACGCTGAGTTATCACAAATATGCATTCAATATATCACCGTTTTTCAAATTTTGTCACACGACTCAGATTTTTAGATATAAGTAACAAATAAATACCCATTATACGTAACAAATATAAATTATTTTTAAGAATAAAGTAAATTAGTGCAAAACAAATGGCTATTTAAAAATCAAATTAAGTACGTACTTTATATTTACAAATTTTATGCGTGTTTTTGAATTACAGTATTTAAAGAAAAAGCTCTATACCAGAGGTGGGCAGCCCCGGTAGAGCATTTTTGTAGTGTGCGTGCAATTGATGTCACTGTGTGCGTACGAACAAGTCCCCTGCGGAAAATCCGACTATCTTAGAACTAGCGTTGAATTAGACCTTTTGCCGACAGTACTAGTTCTAGCTCAATACCCAAGCAATGCTTTCAACTGTCCAGTTTTACACGGCGATGTCATTGGCGGTGGCAATTGTCGCCCAGTGCATTACTTTGCAACTAGATTTTAACCGGTACCGTTTTAGACAGTTTTGTTTAATAAGAAACCGTTTTAAGATTCCATTTTTTGATATTTTTCGTTTTTTCTTTTGTGTTACAGATTCCATTTTTGTACATATTTTATTAAAAAACAAAAAAAAAATTATTGTAAGCTGCACGCAACAAATAAAATTCATTAAATTTGAAAACTCACAACTGCCACCACCGCGATTTGAACTCGCGATCAACGATGGTTGAGTCGGAGGTCTCCTCGCTGAGCTACTTTCGTATTGTACGAGTAGTGTGTATTAGCACATTTACACCGCAAGTTTCAACTGTCCCGCTCTGAATTCCTTTTTCACTAATTCATAGATAGTTCTGAGATATGTAATTCGGAACTAGCGCTTTGTCAGACTGTCTCTAAATTTGACTGCAGGGTCGTGCAGTTGAATGAAGCTTTCGCTGTCCAGCTGTGCTCTATACCAGACTTTCCCAAAGTGGGTGACGCTGCTCCCTGGGGTTTCGCGAGAGTTAACGACGTTAATACATATACTGCATATATTACATACATAC